GTTTGGTGTTGGCAAATTCTTTCAGGTCTTGTTTATTTGAGAATGTTTTTATCCTTTCTTTCCATATGGAAGATAATCTTGCTGGGTATAGTATTCTTGGTTGAAATTGCTTTCCCTTAGCACTTTGAATATATTTTCTCATTATTTCTTTGCTTGCATTGTTTCTGATGAGAGGCCTGATGTTAGCCTCCTGATAGGATAACCTTTATAAGTAACCTGACATTTTTCTCTTGCCAATTTTAGTATCTTGTCTTTGTCTGTAGATTTGGCCAGTCTGGCTATGATGTGCCTTGGAGATCTTCTTTGGTTAATTCTATTAGGGATCCTTTGTATTTCTCGAGTCTGGATAGTTGAATGCCTCTCTAGATTTGGAAAGTTTTCTTCCAAGAGTTCATGGAATAGATTATCAATGCCCTTATTAGTTTCTTCACCTTCTTGTATACAAATTATCTGGATGTTTGGATGCTTAATGGTATCTAGTATTCCTCTTACAGTATTCTCACTTTTTTGGGTTATTTTCTCGGGGTTCCTCCCCCCCATCCCCAGGTCAGACATTTTGCCTTCAACATCTGAGATTTGATCTTTTGCATGGACTAATATGCTTTTAATACTTTCGAGGGAGGTTTTGATTTCCTGTGTTGCAGCCTTCATCTCTAACAGCTCCACTTGATTCTTTTTTACAGTGCATATTTCCTCTTTCAGATTGTACAAGTTCCACCTCCTGGAACTCATTGTCTTTTCTCCTGCATCTTCTGGAGTTCATTGTCTCTCAGCTCTTGCATCTCGTTTAGTTTTGTCACTATGAATATTCTGAATTCTCTATCGCACATTTCTGTGAGTTCTATTGTACTGTCTTGTACTGTCTGTGGATGATGAAGGATTATTCTTTTCCCTTAAGGGAGAGATAGTTTCTTGGTTTCTCATATTTCTTGTGTCTCTGTAGTTTCTGGTGGTTCTGTGAAAAAGTCTCTCCTCTGCTGTGCTTTGCAACAGGGTATCCACAGAAATAGATGACATGAGTTCAGATTTTTTTTAAGAGTTTTTTTTTTTTTTTTTTTTTTTTTTTTTTTGCTATAGGGCACTTGCGCTTGCCAGAGAGACAGAGAGACAGGAAGCAAGAAATCACCCCCCCCAGGTGGGATGGCCACACCACAATCCCTTCTCCTACATTCTCCTCTCGGGATCTTGGGCATGCAGGCACACGCACCCAGCGTGAGTTTAAGCCGCTGGGTCCCGGACTCGAACCACAGTCGACTACTTGGGAGTCCAGCGACATAGCCATTATGCTAACTACTGGTCCCAGCAGATTTATAAAAAATTTCTTAAAGCAAGAGGTTCAATAAGCATTGAGAATTTCAGTGACTCTAAAAGTATTCAGAGGCTTGGCTACCATGCACCTAGGCCTATCTAGACACTCAGTGCGTGGGGACTGAAGAGCAGAGTGGGAAAATAAGGTTAAAAAAAAAACTAGACAAAAACAGCCAAGAAGAGAACCAAAAAAACCCCAATTTTTAAAGGTAAAAAAATGAAAACTGTGTGGCGTGCTACTGCGCCAGGATACACCTCAGATTTAAAATGGTTTCTGAAATTAGCAAGAGAAAGAAAAGGCCTGAGGTGAGGAGAAGTGATTTTAAAAAATAAAATAAAAAAATTTAAAGAGAGAGAGTATGAGACAGACAGAGACAGAGAGGACAGAGGTCACCCTACTTTGAGTATTTCAGAGGTCTAGAAGATGGAGTTTAGAGCATAGCTTCCCTGAACACACCAGGACACACCTCAGATTTAAAATGGCTTCTTGTCTGAGTATTTAGAAGGTCTAGAAGATCTTCTTTATTTTTCATTCTAGGATAATCCAGACAATTTATTTTAGGACAGTAGATCAATTTAAATTTCAAATTTCAGAAGAATCCCACTTAAGTCATTGCTGTTTAAGAGTAGCTAGCAGGTGGCTTTGTAGTTAAGGTGCTGGACTCCCATGTGCAAACTGCAGTTCAGTTTCCAGACCCAGCAGCTTGAAAATCACACCGGGCATGTTGAGTATATGCCCAAAATCCCAGGAGGAAAATGGAGGCGAAGGGCTTGTGGTGTGGTAATTCCCCTTGGGGGCAGTGTTAGCTCACTTTCCTTCTGCCTGTCTCTCTTCAGCAAGTGCATGTATCCCATGGCAGAAAACTAAAAAAGAAAGGAAAAAAGACTGGCCTAAGAAATGCAATTCCATTTATCCAAGTATCTACAGGGAGAACTTTCGAGTTGTAACCACCTGAAGTATCAAGTAGAGGCAGAGTTTCTCTGTCTTCTGAGGAAAGCTGTGGCTTAGGAGAATAGTTCTCTGTATTTTAGAATGTGATTGACGGTGATCAAAACCCAGGAAGTGTTTCACATCAGTGGCAAGGCTGGCCCTGTGACTGAGAAGTTCAGGGGGCGTCTGGTTGAATCCTGGCCCCTAAGGCTTGAAAAACACTTTGGGTGCACATGTTCACGTGCTCCAGATCTCAACAGGGTGAAGTGGAGGAAGAAAGCTGACAGTGTGACTATACTCTGTAGGATGCTTTCTCCCTCTCCCTCTATCTCTGGTGAGTGTATGGACCATCAGGGAAATCAAAAAAATCAAAAGCACACCACTTGATGGGCTTTGCTCCTGCGAGGATTCCTCCTTGCTGGTCAGCCCCTATGTGGCTGGGCAGCTTTGCGCAGCGGTGGTGTGCTCAGTGCGTGGGGAACTCAGGTGGTGCCACTGGATGAGCATGTCCCTAAAGTGTTCTCAGTTTTGAACTGCGTGGGGCCACGCACACTGCTGATCTGTAGGTCTTGTTGCACTAGACCCATTCACCTGGAGTGTCTGGGGGACCAGGGGAAGCCAGAGTGGGAGACCCACATTCGTTTAATGACTGATAAAGGGAAGGGGCTTGGCCACTGACGAAGAAAAAGGTTCTGAGTTTAAGTAGACCCTAGCTAGCAAGATTCAAATATATAGCCAAAAGTGAAATTAAAGCCAGTGAAAAACTGCCTACCGGAAAACTGAGCGCCACCGGTTTCCCAGGGCAAGCAGAATCCCATTGTTGGAGTATCAGGACCTCGTGTGAAATGGAAATGGCAGTGACCTGCTGTGTGAGCACAGAAGCAGAACATCTCTCCCACCAGAGCTTCGATCCTCTTGGGAAGAGCCAACCTTGTGAGACCTCAGCTAGAGTAGAGGTCCAGCCTTGAGGGGGAAGCAGCCAGGGCCACCCACATTCATGAAATCCCTCGAGCTCAGCAGAGTTCTGCTTGTACCAGATGTGTCAGGTAGATACAATAAACAGCAAGTCCCAGTACACCCACAGGGGACATCCTTCACATGGCTCACTGTATCAGGGATCACAGCTAGATTTTGCAGCTTAGAGGCCCTCCTGCCAGGAGAGAAGAGATGATGTCACTGTGATGCTTGCTCACATCCTCATTTCCAGCGGGCACTAAACTAATACGGTAGGTCATCCCCTTGTGGGTGCTCATATTCCCTAGTGTACACTGGGCACGTGTAATTACCTGAAGGAGAAGTACGCTAGCGCAGATGGAAGCCCGCGGTCCAAACAAAGGGACCTCCTGGCTACGACAGGCCTCCCTAGATATTCATGTTGAGACCCAAGGAGAAAAGTAACACGCTGCCCCAGTTGCAGCTGTCCTCCTCTCAGCTGCCCCTCTGCATGCCTTTCTGGAGTGGGGGTATATTCTTTCCTGCTAAAAATCTTCACTTTTAGGAACCAGCAGTTAGCGTAATGGCTATGTCGCTGGACTCCCACGTAGTCGACCGCGGTTCGCGTCCCGGACCCGGTGGCTTAAAACTCACGCTGGGCGCGTGTGTGTGCATGCCCAAGATCCCGAGAGGAGAATAGAGGAAAAGGGATTGCGGCGTGACCATCCCCTCTGGGGGGTGATTTCTCGCTTTCTGTCTCTATGTCTCTCTCTGTCTGTCTGGCGAGCGCACGCGCCCTATAGCGAAAACCTCTCAAAAAAAAAAAAAAACTTCACTTTTTTATTAAGACTTCTCTTTTCCTACTTCACACATGTTTACGATTTTTTATTCTGTATCTTAGGGTGGGTCTTAGTGATCAGGACCCAAAGAATGGAGTGTTTACGTGACGTAGCTCAGCTCACCTGTCCCGTAACACCAGACACTGAGCTCCTAGAGGAATGTCTGGCAGTCAGGGCAGCTTACACACGCCCAGGTCCCATCTGGGTCACCAGAGAGTCAGCCTGAAATAAGTCAGACTGTTTGTCAAGGAGCATTAAAGATTGATACATGGCTGACTTGAGGATGGCCTACCTGGCAGCAATGGCACCTGTATGTACCCCCAAATGGGTTTTTTTTTTTTTATAGGAAAAGGGAAAAAAGACGACAGTGGAAAGACAAGTTATGAAAGAGGAGAGTTACAGAATTGTTTCTCACAGTGCTGCATGATTCCTACTCGTTAGCATTTTAGCGCTGTCCCATTGTTCCATGACCGCCACCTTGTGCCATGGCCCCGAATACCGGCCTGAGCTCTTTGACTCCCTAATGGCTGGTGTGTGCGGCCGAAGTCTCAAGTCTGCATTTCTCTCAAGGTCTGATTATTTTCCAATGCCTTCCTTGCCTGCCTGCCTGCCTGCCTTTCTTCTCTGTAGAACTTTTTTTTTTTCCTGGTGCAGATCTAGTCTGTCGTTCTTTTTTTTTATAATCGGTATTTTCGTAAAGTAGAAGAGATGTATCAGAATGTCCCTCAGTTTGGCTTTGTCCAATAAATGCCTCTTGATTAGATTCTGGTTGTCCATTTCTGGCAGGAATACAAGGTAAGTGAGGGGTGGTGTGTGCTGAAGGGTCGGTCGTTGGTTTGTCCCGTTGTTGGTGATACTAATCTTGATCACTTGGCTACCGGATCTCTCCACTCTAAACTTTGTAATTAATATATAATTCATAGGGAAATATTTTGAGACATACATTGAATCTTAGTATACAAATTAAATCTGCCTTTTTTTTTTTTTAGTATGATTTTTCAACTTTTGATCAGGCTAACTATAAGAGGAGATCTCTAACCTCCCCAGGTAAGCCACTGAATATTTTGTATAGTTGGAGGTTTTATCAAATATAACCTGAGAGAGGTGGTTAGAAAAGCATTCTATGGAGTTGTGTCTAATTTCAGATATCTTGCGATTATAAGGGTTTTTTTTGTTTTTGTTTTTTTGCTTTTTAGTAATCATGATTTTGGGGGTAAATGTGCAAGATGTTTTTTTAAAATTCAAATTGATGGGCCAGCAGTTGATATGGTGATTAAGGCACCAGACTGCCACATGGCTGACTATAGTTTGAGTCCCAGACCTGATGACTTGAAACTCAGGCTGGGCAAGTATGTGTATGTGCCTAAAATTCTGAGAGGAGAATGAAGGAGAGGGGATTGTGACGTGGCCATCCTCCTGGCGGGGGCAGGGGTGATTCTCATTTCCTCTCTCTGTCTCTCTCCTGTAAGTGCATATACCCTATGGCAAAACTCTTAAAAAAATTTCAAATTGAATGTATTAGTTTGGTATTTTTAGTTACAATACTTCTGCCTTTGAAAATGTTAAAAATTAAACAGACTGTATTCAATAAAGAAAACTTATTTTTTAGGCATGAACTGTTCTAAGTTATTATAGTAATTAACAATAATTAGAGGAGGAATTTATCAAATAAATGTACTTGAAAAAGATAATCATACTCTGGGATTGGATGGGTTGTAGTGTCACATGGTAATCTATAACACAGCTAATGTTAATATGTATTAACCATTAGTCTATTAATGTCTTAATACTTTCTTGTCGATCTCTTTTTAAAAATTATTTATTGAACTCCATTTATTATTATTATTTTTAAATTTGGCCAGAGAGAGAGGGAAAGTGAGAAAGCAAGCCACCAGGTCTGGGACTAAACCGCAGATGGCCATGTGGGAGTCCAGCGCCCCAGTCACCACGCCACCTACCAGCCCCGTAGATGATCTCTTTACTAGCATGTAGAACCATTAAACTTCGGGAGAATTGCACTGGAAATACTAGTTCGTATCTTTAAAAGTTCAATTGATTGGTTAGGCAGTTTCATTTTTTTCTCAAACTTTATGTCATTTTGAATTTCCATGAAATGTAAATAAAAATGTTTGCTTTGATGAGTCACATCAGGTAATTGGATCAACAAATCAGTTTTGCTTTTAATTAAACTGGCTTGTTTTGAAAAATATTCTTCTGAAATATTTCTTCAGTCTGAAAATAAAAACAGCTATGACTGAGTCCATTATCTTAAAAAAAAAAGTCATAAAGGGGACCAGCAGGTGGCATGATGGTTGGGGAGCTGGACATTCCCACATGGCTGACCATGGTTCAAGTCCTAGACCAGGTGGCTTGCTTTCTCACTTTCCTTCTTTCTCTCTGTGTGTCTCTCTCTGGTCAAACTAAACATAAATGAATGAATAAATGAAATTAAATAAATATTTTTTTAAAAAGTCATAAATTACAATTATGTTTTAGTTTGAAATTTACTCTTAAATTTCCATTTCCTGAAGTATAACTCATTAAATATCTGGGGAGTAAAAATGTTGGCTAGAGAACAGTTCAAACATTTAAAGGTGTTACTAGGTTTCCTGTCATGAAAGCTCTTCCCATATTATTCCCTAAATTTAGATATAGACTAATAGCTTATGGAACAAATGTGTGAGAACCAATGACATATCAAGATTAGATGGAAGGAAAGCTAAATTCTGAATTTTAGTCTGGATTTTTTTTTGAAGAAAAGTTTTTTGCTATAGGGCATATGTGCAGGCCAAATAGAGAGAATCAGAAAGCGAGAAGTCACCCCCCAGGATGGCCATGCTGCAGTTCCTTCTCTTCCATTCTGCTCTCAAGATCTTGGGCATGCACACACGCACACATGCCCAGTGTGAGTTAAAGGGACTCGAACTACGGTTGATTACGGGGAGTCCAGTGTCACAACCATTACGCCCTCTGTTGGTCCCAATTTTAGTCTGGATTCTGAATTTGCAGAAAATTATACAAATTCTCTAGTCATTAGTTCTTCATCCTAGGATCAAATAAGGCAATGAATGGAAAAGCATTTTGTATCCACCAAGTCCTATATAAATATTCAGTTTGATGCTTGTTTTCTGTCAGTTTGGGTTAGGGAGACACACACATAAGAAATCATTGAGTAGTTTTGTCCTCTTACTTTCAGGAGTCAAGAATGAGATGATTAGTATCTGATGGCTGTGTAATCTCTGGTGTTCTGGCTTCTGTTGACAGATGATTTAGATACCTACTCATCCGGAGATAAAGTTGGTCCATCATTAAGATGTTACTCTGATGAAAGAAAACATTGTACAACACCTTTCAGAAGTTCGTTCAAGCACTTAAATGTGAATTGGTAAAGTACCTGAACCCTTAATGTCTCTCCCTTAGTATCTCAAGATAGGGAGGGGGAGGATGGTTTCTGCCTTGGCTTGTGCCCAAGAGGAAGCATAAGCAGTCTGGAGCCTGCCGAATAGTTGGAGATGGAATTATTACTTTTTCCCAAGACTCTCTTTGGTAAAAGTATAGTCCTAGCATTATGTTAGTGGCATAATGTAAAGTTAAATTATATAATGGAAAAGATGAAAGATTATTTTTATGGTTATTCACTTAACATCCAAATGAAAACTCTGTTCCATTTAAAAAAAAAGGAACTGAAGCCAGCAGGTGGTATAGTGGGTTCCCACATGGCTGACCATGGTCTGAGTCCCAGACACAGTAGCTTGTGAACCACCCGGGCACATGTCATGTGCGTGCCCACCCAAAATCCCGAGAGGAGGATGCAGGAAAAAGGATTGCATCATGGCAATCCCACCTGGGGATGACGTCTTGTTTTCCTCTCCATCTCTTTCCAGTTAGCACATGTGCCCTATGGAAAAAAAAAGAACTAAGAAAAAAATGTCAGTACAGATTTGTAGATAGTGACATTTATTAGACATCTGTTTTGTGTCTAGGAGAGTGGTAAGCACTGTATTTTAGGTAGGGAAGAGTAATTGAAGGCAGCTCGAGGAGATGGTAGCTACAAAGTATGTGTGATGCAGCAGTGGGAAAAAGGGGTTTCAGTTCTGAAGCGGAGATAGTATCTCCTATGGGCAAAAGCTGGGGCCAGCAGGTGGCATGGTGATCTGTCCCACATGACTGACTGCAGTTTGAGTCTCGGACCTGGCGACTGGCTTCCTCAATCTCCCTCTCCCTCTCTGTGTCTCTCTCTGGTCAAATTGAAGAATAATAGTAGGTAAAATTAAATAAATCTATTTTTTAAAAAGAAACAGTGGGAGCTAAGGAGAAATAGAGCTTTAGATTGAATACTTAATGCCAAAAATACGTAGCAGAAGGAAATGCTATCAGTGTAGGAGTAAACATTTTGAAATAATGTAAATACATATACAAAATGAAATGCTGTGGCAGCTGTGGAGAGAAGAAAAGACAGCTGTGTCTCAAAATATCTGTTTCTATTAATGTAGTTTGCAATTGGGAGCTAGACTTCTTAAATACTGAAATCATTGAGTAATTTTGTCTCTGTCTACTAAAATGAGGTAATCCACTTAAAGTGCGAGGGACGGTGCAGGGTATACAGAGCTCTCAGATGTGAGCCGCCGCTGTTGCCGTTCCCACTGTCTCACTTAGCACTCCTAGTTAGCCCAGTTGCTCTAGGTTCAAGACGTGGATATGAGCTAGACTGAAAGGAAGGTAAGGAAAGTGGAAATGGATTTAAGGGAATAATCATGAATTTATGGAAACAATTTTCTTTTATTTAACTGATCATTTTAACATTTTTTTGTTTTTATAAATGATCTGGGTATAATTCCAAATTATACTTGGAAGGTTTTGGACTAGGAAGGTTTTCCTAACAACCCCTAGTTATGATCAGGGCTGGATCTGTGCCGTCCAGCACAGCAGCACAGGCTTTGAAATGGGGCTGCTCTGAACTCAGATCTACCGACATGTGAGATTCACACTGCAGTTTGAAGACTTCGCGTGGGTAAAAAAAAAAAAGTAAAGTATCAATAATTTTTTAATATGATGAAATGAGAATCTTAGGTAGGTTAAATAAAACAAGTTGTTAAAGTTTGACCTCTTTATATATATTTTTTTGTTTTAAAAGAATTCTTCTATTTAACTTTATTTTTATTTATTTCAATTTGACCAGAGAGGGACAGAGTGAGAAAGTAAGAAATCAAGCCACCAGATCTGGGACTCAAACTGTGGTCAGCCATGTGAGAGTCCAACGCCCCTAACCACCATGCCACCTGCTGGCCCCTCTTTTTATGTTTTTAATGTGCTGGTAGAAAAAAAATTCCCCATACTTATGATGGAGCATGTGTGAGAGAGAAAGTACCCTTTGGCCAGGCTGCAGTACTTCCCCTGCAGTTCTCTGTCCCATCAGGACTCTGGGCATGCACATGGCACTTGGAGAGTTGCCTCTGTGACCAGGATTCAAACCCCATTCGGCCATATCTGATCCAGATCCCTCTTACAGCACTCAAGCATTGCTCTGCAGGGTCAGCCCTTGCTACTCGGAAATGTGACATTATGTATGTGACTTGCATTACTCCTTTTGAATAGTTATTCCTTTTTAAATTATTTTATTTATTTATTTTATTTTATTTGACCAGAGAGGGTCAGAGCAAGATAGAGTAAAGTGAGAAAGCTAAAACACCAGGTCCGGGACTCGAACCGTGGTTGGCCATGTGGGAGTCCAGCGCCCCTAACCACCAAGCCACCTGCCAGCCCATTACTCCTTTTGAGCAGCTCTACTCTAGGTACTTTCACAGTGAGCTAATCTTTAAAGAGAACCCCTGGGGTTCTAGGTCTCCACTTAGTGCCAGTTATGTTACTTATTAGTCTTTTGTCTTTTTTTAGGGTTGAGTTTCCTCATGCCAAACATTAATTCTTTTAGCTAACAACAATACCTGTTATATCTACTTCACCAGATTTAATGTTCGGCAAGTGTAGAACATTCTATAGGCATACGTAGTTTTAAACTGAGCCTATTTAATGTCGGAAACGTCAAAAGATGCTTGTGGGTTATCAGGAGCAATGACGTATTTTTAGAAGTCTTTTTTAGTTTTTATATTTTTCTCCGTTGTTATGCTGTTGGTATTTGAAAAGCAGTTTTATCTTTTCGAAAATGCTATAGTAAACTTCCTGATTGATGTGATAGAATTGTTTTTTAAAGCCTAGATGATGAACTGGATTTTTTTCATGATCCGAAGAAACGGGAAACAGAAGACTTAATTGAGAATGATCGTAGAGTTAGTACATCCAAAGTAAACAAGCAGTCTTTTAAAGAAACAGAAAAAGGTAACAAAAAATTTATTTTAGAATAATCATTAAAATGATCAAAAGAGCACATAAAACTTATCTCGCAACAATGACATGAGTCCTCAAGAATCTGTATATTCCCATGTTCCAGATTTGTACAAGCCACGAACTAGCTTTTGTGCTTATTAAAATATTGAAGAGAAAGGTAAACTTGATCATTTTCAGTAGTATTTCTGCACTCTAAAAATGTAACTAACACTCCAGTCCCAGACCCAGCGGCTTAAAACTCATGCTGGGCACATGTGCATGCGTGCCCAAGATCCTGAGAGGAGAATGGAGGAGAAGGGTTAGAGGTGTGGCCATCCCCCCCGGGTGGTTTCTCGCTTTCTGTCTCTCTCTGTCTCGCTAGTGAGTACACACGCCCTGTAGCAAATATCTCTCTCTAAAAAAATATTAATTAAAACATTTTAAAAAGAAAAGTGAGTAAGTGACTATGGTAGTATTTGACTACTCCTTATATTTTGAGAAAATACTCTAGATTTCTTAACATATGACTTGCTCAGCACTGGACTAGCTGCAGCTTCTATGTACCTGGCTGCATTTCGTAGTTTTGTTAAAATTTCAAGGAAGGGGCAACTAGAGAAGGTGCCTTTGGCCTTTTGGCTACCAGAGAGCACGGTGGCCGCGTTGGGGGTACTGGGTGCCCTCTCCTTTGGAATGTGCTATCTACACACAGCAAACATTCTCTTCCCCTCTCCTCTCCTTTATCTTCATGGTCCCATTGATCTCAGTCTTTGAGGAAAGTAAAAATAATTCTTGTGGACTTGTATATGGTAAGTTTTCTCATTGAAAACATAGGGTAAGCTGTCCAAAAGTTGGGAATGCTAACTCTAGGTTCCTAGGGACCTAGAGATACAAACAGAGCGTGAGCTATGTCTGATTTTTAGGGCATAGGGCATTTATGAAGTGAAACGGATTTCTTTTCTTTAGAGTATTTTTTAACTAGGGACCAGCAAAAGACATAATGGTTACGTCACTGGACTCCCACATGGCTGACTGCGGTTTGAGTCCCAGACCCAACACTCATGGTAGGCATGTGTGTGTGCACACACAAAATCCCGAGAGGAGAATGGTTTGTGGCGTGGCCATCCCTTCAGGAAGTGATTGCTCGTTTTCTGTGTCTCTTTCTCTCTGGTGAGCACATGTGCCCTATAGCAAAAATCTCTCTACAGAAAAAGAAAAGTTTATTTAATGATTTCTTCCATGAGTAAGAGACACAGGGACTGCACCCACAACAGGGTCTCTGAACCATGGCCTACCCTCAGCTTTTAACCCGCCCTAATCATGGGCACGTGTGTGCCTGGTGAGCTCATGAAGTTCTCCAGTCATGAGCCAGGAACCTTCCCATGTGGGATTGCCTAGCAGAATGTCCCATTTCGCTGCTGTGCCATCTGGCCCCAGAAATATTTTTCTTTTTTAAAAAATATAATATTTGTGCCCGACGCAGCCATGGCTGAAGAGCAACCACAGGTCGAATTGTTCGTGAAGGCTGGCAGTGATGGGGCCAAGATTGGAAACTGCCCCTTCTCCCAGAGACTGTTCATGGTGCTCTGGCTCAAGGGAGTCACCTTCAGTGTCATCACCGTTGACACCAAGAGACGGACGGAGACGGTGCAGAAGCTG